AATAAATGGACAAAGAAACTGAACAGGCACTTCACAGAAGAAGAAATAGGAATGGTCAACAAATATATGAAAAAATGTTCACATCTCTAGCRTTTAGAGAAATACAAATCAAAACTACACTGAGATTTCATCTCACTCCAGGCAGAGTGGCAATTATCAAGAATACAAGTAACAATAAATTCTGTCAAGGATGTGAGGACAAAGGTACACTCACGCATTGCTAATGGAAGGACAAATTGGTACAACCACTCTGGAAAACAGTATGGAGGTTCCTCAGAAAACTTAGAGTGGAACCACCATTTGACCCAGTTATCCCAAAGAACTTAAAATTGGCACACTACAGTGATGCCTCCACATCAAGATTTATAGTAGTTCACAATAGCTAAGCTATGGAACCAACCTAGGTGCCCTTTGATAGATGAATGGTTAAAGAAAATGTGGTATATAAACATAATGGAGTATTACTCAGCCATAAAGAAGAATGACTTTAGCTGGGCATGGTGGCACATGCCTGTAATCCCTGTGGCTTGGGAGGCTGAAGTAGGAGGATGGTGAGTTCAAAGCCATCCTCAGCAACAGCAAGGCACTAAGCAACTCAGGGAGACCCTGTCTCTAAGTAAAATACAAAAAAGGGCTAGGGGTGTGTCTCAGTGGTTGAATGCCCCTGAGTTCAATCCTTAGTATAACCCTTCCATGCCACCCCCCAGCCAAAATGACATTATAGCTTTTGCTGGTAAATGGATGGATCTGGAGACTTTCATGCTAAGTGAAATAACCCAATCCCAAAAACCAAAGGCTGAATGTTCTCTATGATATACAGAGGCTAACACACGATACGAGGAGAGGGGATAGAGAAGAATAGAAGTTTAGTGGATTAGGAAAAAAAGGAATGAAGGGAAGAGTGGGGAATAGTACTAGAAATGCCACTAGAACAAATTGGACATAACTCTCCCATGTTCATATATGAATACACAACCAGTGAAACTCCACATCATGTACAACTGCAACAATGGGATCCTAATTAGAACAAGTTATACTCCATGTATGTTTAATAAGTCAAAATACACGCTACCATCAGGTATATCTAAAAAGAAATAAAAAAAAAATGGAGTTTTAGCAATTAAAAAAAATCTACCTATATTGCAATAAATATAGAAATTAGCCATTTCAAATTTTGTTTGATCAAATTTCCTGTTAGAAGCCTAAGGGGCCCTGACACCATACACTTAATGATATTTGTTGTAGTTTAGCTCTTGTGAAGAGCTGGAACTAGCAAATTGTGACTCTTACCTGCTTTTTTCCTAGTACATTTCACCAAATATGTCTGCACCATTCTCAAAAAGATATTTGTCTTTAGCAAATAAAATGCAGCATGCTTATGAAGTTCTTGCAAAAGATGTCTCTGCAAAAATAAAAAAAAATGTGCCACCTGATTTTCTAGTTCTTCAACTTGAAAAACCGGAAGAGTCTGTCGCTGAGCCCACCAAAGATGAATAATAGAGTTAGGACTGAAGTTGACTGCCAATCATTTCTGTCTAAAGAGAGGTCAGAATGACTTCTTGCATTGAAGGGAACATGCTTGTGCACAAAACCCCACTGTGTGGGTCCACACACAAAAAAAGGTGACCCTAATCTATTTGAATATTTAACAATAGAAGTGGAAGTAGTATTGTCTCTGTTTTGATTTATATGATATACTTGTATATTAAGACACTATACTTTAGCCTTGTACATTTCAAATATTATTGTTTTCTAGTATGGTTGCCTTTTAGTTTTGTTTTTTATGTTGATTTGACCATACAAAAGTTCTAAAGTATAGTTGAATCTCTCAATTTTGACCTTTTAAAAAAATGTGTTTCTCACCTCTGATTTTCCCCTGCTTCCAATGAGAGAGAGAGAGAGAGAAAATTTTTAATACAGCATTTCAGAGAGTTGATAATCAGCTTCTAAATGTTACTGGACTTAAGTGTAGAAAATAATTATGTCCCATTTACTTATTTAGGAAAACCCTGAGTGGTGGGAGGAGGGAAGACACATAAATTGGGACTCATTCTGAATAAAAGTAACCCGAGCCTGCCCACTGACTTGCCCCATTTTCCTTGCAGGAACCAAAGGGGTCTTCAAGAGTCAGAGGTCAACTCCCTTAACTGCCTTGTCTTGAGCAAAAATCCTGCTGGCACTCTCCCACCCTCTCCTCAACCACCAGCAGAGCTCAGCTCTCCTACTGGAGTCCATAACTGTGGGTGCTAAGGTTTGYCTGCCTCTAAGTTCTGTATACCAAGCCTAGCTTTGCCCTTCGGAGCCACAAAGAGTGATTCCACCTGGGAAAATCTCATGCATTCAGGGAAAGCCGCCATCTCCCATCAAGACTCCTCCTTTCAGGATGAACACCTTGAAATCTTTTGGCCTTGAGGCTGGCCACTGGCCTGTTGCCCAGGGACCTTCTCTCTCTTTTCTTGCAGACAGCCTTGAGCACAAAGTGCTGTGTGAGTCTGACAGGGACAGAACTGGTGCAAGTGTGACATGCTGGAGTCCCTTCCCTGCCCAGACTGGGGCTCCCCCAGGTCCCCTGTGCCACTTTTCACTTTTCTAACACTGCTCCCATTTCTCGGGAACCCTGGGGCTGGTAGCCTGAGCCCTTTACTTTTCCATTCCACCCTTGTGTGTAGGTTGGCTTGTTTCTTTGGCTTACTACTGATTACAGGATCCTGACAATCCTCTCACTTACTTACTTACTTGGCAAAAACTGATTGGGGCTCCCATAATTTGCCTCCACTTTCCTTCCTCTCAGATTGGGAGCCCCTTCCCTTTTCTTACAATAGTAACAATCATCAACCTGGTTTTGTGCGTCAAGATTTTGGTTTTGGACCTTGGCCTCACCTTCTAGTTAGACTGGTACTTGGGCCTGACTGATCTAGAGTCTCTTGCTGTGATTTACCCAGGTTGGCTAGGGAGGGCAGGGCAGGGCAAGGTAGGGTGAGGGCGAAAAGGTGGGGTGAGTAGAACTGGGTGGGGCTGGGCTGCATGGGAAACTGACTTGTTTTTCTAAACCAGTTGGCCCTGGTGATGGGAGAGCTGCTAGGTAATGGAAGTGCCACCTACTAATGGCGATGGAGGAGGTGGGCTTGAGTTCTAGTCCTGAATAACTAACTGGGAGACCTTGAGCAAGTCATTTGTATCCTCCAAGAGGATAACACTGGATAGAAATGTCAGTTTTTGCAGCCTATCAAATGCTACGAGTGTGTGTGGCTAACAGCATCCTAAGCATTCCCCATTCTGTTATAGCAACAAACTCATGAGGAAGGTTTTACTGCTGTGCTCCTTTTACAAGTGAAGACCTAGTAACTTAGAGTGGTTAAGTGGCTTGCTGCTATAGTTCAGAAGTGTTTCCCAAAGACCCATATACTAAAGTGTTGGCCAYCAGCTTATGACACTATTGAGAGGTGGCAAAACCTTTAGAAGGCAGAATCTATGAGGACACGATCTTGAAGGAGGTATTAGGACTCCACTCCTTCATCTCCTGTCTTTATTTCCCAGCCATCATGAGGTGGAAGACCTGTGCCACACATCCCTGCCATGATGTGAACTGTGCTCCCATAGATCCAAAGCAACAAGGCCAAGAGACTGTGGACTGCAACCTCTGAAACCATGAACCAAAATATGGTATTTGTAAGATGAGCTGGGTGGGATTTGAGACCAAGGGGTCCGAATGCCTGTGCTTCTAACCTCAGTGCTGTAGTGTTGCGCATGCCCAACCCTGGACTCCGTTCGGGTCTATGGCTTGCCACAATTCAATTCACTCCCAGGCCTGGGGAGGACCATGCCCAAGCCATTCAACATTAGTGTAGCCTGTGTGACTATGTTCCTCATTTTCTTACCCCCGAGCCGAGGTTCCTTCAGCTCTGCTGTCCTGCTTGAAATAGTCTGAAAACATTCTGAGAGCAAGAGCAAATTTCTGTCAGAAACAGGTTAATGTCAGTTTTGGGATCACCATTTCCACATTTAGGAATTAAAAACCCAGAAACAACAACAACAACAACAACAACAAGCATCAGTTTCCCTTTACAAGGATCTCTCTTTAAAATATCATGATTCGTATTCATGTTGGCTGCTGCTGTTTGCTTAATTTTTCTTCTTATAGACATGAAAAATTAATTGCTCTGCCTTCTACCCTGTGGTCCTCTGATGTCCTGGCATGCCAATGCCTGAGAAAACTTAACCCACAGAATGAGTAATACTCTGGAACTAAGGACTGGTATTTCAATTGCCTAAGGCTGTAGAAAGCTGATTGCAACATGGGAGCCAGCCCCCAGAAATAAATAAATACAAGAATACAGAACTACACAACGCAAACAAGCAGTCTCCTGTCCACTCATGAAAATATCTTTTTTTCTTTCAGGATTTTAATTTGCCTTCCTTCAACACAACAGGTACAGTAAATACTATAGTTAGTACCCTTGGATTCATGTATGATATTAACAGGGCAGGGTGATCCTAGGGCTTGCATAGGGCCTTCCCAAGAGCACAGCATCTTCATACTTATTATCACACTATATATATATAKWGTGTGTGTGTGTGTGTGTGTGCGTGTGTGTGTGTGTGCGCGCACAAGAGAGAGAGAAAGAGAGAGAGAACACACACACCAGGATTAGGGATATATTTTCATATTGAAAGATAGCTGAACCGAGCCATGAGGAACAGTCAGCAAACTGGTGAGGAGTGAGATAGGATGTCAGAAAGACTTTAGTTGGTAGATTCATGTACTTTTGTCTTGGAGACAAAGTGCAACCTTTTAGGAAAAATATGGAAAGTCTTCACATAAATGCTACATGTCACATGATAGGTGTTTATGATGYGTACCAATTCTATTCTTTCCCGCCAGTAATTTAATCCTATTTATCATAGCAYTTCCATTGCCACAGCAACTAAAATTAATTGGTGCTGTCACATGAAAGTCAGATTGCTGCGTTTATTTTGGTCCCAATTGCATCACGATGACCATCCGGCAGCATTTATCTAAATCTGGTTGAGGCTTACATGGTTTCTCCTGAGATATCTTCCTCATCTGTTTGTGGCTGTGTATAACTCAATCTCCTGCCTTTTTGTTTTCTTTCTGCCCAAATGAAGAATGAGCGTACCAGCATTTCCTCAGGACACACCTGTGCACCATGGCGGAGGAGCCCATCTTGAGGAAGGCAGGTTTTGCACACAGGTGGTGATTGGGAGGCCTCAACAGGCTCCTGACCAACCAAATAAAGGTTGGTGGAAAAACAAAGCCTGTGCATTGGGAGGTGGGGGCTGGAATGGGGAAGGAGACACTTTAGACAAGGTTGTTAGCAGATGTTGTTTAAATGTTCTGAATGCCAAAATGTAATAAGAAAGACCAATGTAACATGGACGTTTTAACACGTGCGAGCTCGCACACACATACACTCACACACTTTCTCTCTTTCTGAAGTACACTGCTTCCTGCATGTGCTTTTCCAGGTACTTCCTGCTACTTGATATTATGGAGGAAAACTAAAGGTGAAGAGACTCCATTCAGTTTACCCAATGMATTGCTGGAGCCTGTGGTCAACATTAGATTGCCTCTAGATAGCTAATTTTTTGTTGGGGTTAAGTCACTTCTTTTTTTTTTTTACTAAACACCATATGTAATCCCAATTTTTATACCACACACCCTAAGGAAGAACAAAATATAGGCTATGGTTATGACTGGCGTTTGAGATGTTATTGCTACAGACAAGGAGCCTACATATTGGAGCTTGGGGACATAAACTCAAATTCTTTAGTAGTTCAAATATTTTTGTTGTTTTTGTTGTATATGCAATTACAATCAGACTCTATCTGGTTTGGACGAGAATGAGGATAAAAGTGAGTTTATTTCTGCTTTCTACTTCCTGTCTGGAGTTCAGAGTATGCTCCATTTTTCTCTTTCTTTTCTTTTTTTTTAAAAGAAATAGCAGGATGTTTGTCAACTATTTACTCTCTTCTAGCCATATGCTAACTTTCTTTTGGACTCAGCTTCTTCATTTATAAAATGAGAATGATTTCTGAATATTGTGATAGATGAACAGAAGTCAATCAACATAAGGAGGAATTTCAATCTATAAAGTAAAGAATTTTTACTTTAACAAATTAGATTTCATTACAATATTATTATAGTAGTCACCTGAAAATATTCCATTTCACTCACAACCTAAGAGATATAATGTTGTATTCAACATTATCTCTCAGATAGTCAAAGATTAAAAATATTGATCATATGCAGTGTTTGTGAGGATTTGGGTGTGTTGGATCTTCTTGTCTCAAGGTACATGGTGAAGACATTTCAAAATTTAAAATGTTTAGGTCTTTTGATGAATTAATTTTCCTTTTCTAGAAATTTATTTAGGAGAAAGAAAGATTCAAAGATATATTTCTAAGTTTGTTCATGTAAGTGTTATTAATGCGAGTACAAAATAAGGAATGAGACACATGCCCACTAATAGGAAATTATTTAAATTAGTTATGATATACCCCTTAATGCAATTAAGACCCAGTGGTTATTCAAAAGTAGTATGTAACTGTATGTTCATTGGTATGAAAAGACATCTATAACATATTGTTAAATGAAAAGAAAATTATAGACCTATACATTTAATATTATTCACCCTTAGATGGTATATTTAAATTTATAGCTATGTTTATATTTATATTTATACATATAAAGAATATTTTGTATATAATGGTCTCTGAAAGCAGGGTTTATTGAAGATGCAGTCACTTTGCTGCTGATACACTAGTGATTTGCTTAAACTTTTTAAAAAATAGAGAATGGTATCATGTCTTATAATCAGTGAAAACAACAATCATAAAGAAGAAAAAAGAATCCAAAGAGCATTCAGATGAAAGTCTTAATTCTACTGCTTCCAGTAATCTCTCTCATTTGTAATATGACCATTGAATTGGATACACTCAACCTCTGATGGGCTAAGTAGGCACAGGGGCTCAGGCTATTTACAACAAACTAAAGAAACAGCAAAAGATAAACAAGTCTGAGATAAATACCATGAAGATAGGGTATAAATTGGTGGGGCCCGCCATACATAACATGCTAATCTATTTAATGAAAGAATAGATGACAGGCKCTGGATGAGCTTTGCAAATTGAATATCATGTGAGAAAAAGGTCGTTGAATGTTAGTGTRAGCGATAGGGACATGGGGGGGGGGGACAGGCTGAATTCGGAGCTGTGGCAAAGCATGAGTCTCTCCCACCTCCTTTCTTTCCAGAGACCCAGTGGTGGGTATTAGAGACTTTCAGTCTACTTTTCCTTTATTTTGGAGTCAGACCTAGATGCTATCATGTAAAAATATCCCTGCTAATGCATATTAAGATGTGACATGCTTCCTTTTCTTTAATTTTGTGTGCCTTTGTATCATTAACCTGAAAAGAAGAAGGGGGAAAAAAAAAAGAACCCATATCCTGGTGTGTAACTAAAAACCTCCCGGTGGGATTTGTTTAGTGTGAGAGAGTGATTAGTAATTTTTAGTGATTAGTAATTTTCTCCCTCAGGTGGCTTTTCTGCATTCCTGTAGAGATCGTGTACACAACAGGGCTGCCAAGTGAGAAGAAAAGGCTTAGGCAGAAAATACCACGCTTTCGAGAACAGTGTGTGTGTGTGTGTGTGTGTGTGTGTGTGTGTGTGTGTGTGAGAGATTGGGCTTTCAACAACTGTTTGAGTGATTGGCAAATAAAGTGCATTGATTTGGAGTCGTTTCTTTTATGTCCTATACAATCTTTGGTCTTGCAGAAAGTCCCATTGTGTAGTAATTTCATTCGAGGGGGTTGTAGCTGTGGTCCCATCCGCTCACTCCCCTGTCTCCCTCATCCCCTTTTTATTCCTCCTCTGGTATTGGAAAAGCAAGCCAGTTCTAAACATCCTAGCTGAAGGAGGCGTTGAAGTCTGATTTCCAGTTTTTAGGGCCTACTGTGGAAATCATAGGATTGAGGCAGGAAGAGTTTAGCTTTCTCAATCAAAAAAGAAAAAAGACAGTTGATGTATGAAATGAGAGCTCCACAGAGGAGGGACACTTTTTTAGTGTCCCGCCAAGTCACACCATTCCACTTCCCAATAAGGTGAGAATCCACATGAACAGAAACACACCCTGACAGCTGGGTYGGGAGCCAGAGTGTGCGGCTGTTTTTGTCTTGCCGCTCCCTGGGGATTGAAGCTATTTAGCACAAAGGTTAAGCAACGTGTGTGGCCTCAGGATTCTCCCACGCGAAGCTTTCATAATTTTATTTTTGCATATCTATGGGCACATATTCTGGCCTTTGTGACCTCACTAGTAACTGTTAGCTCCACAAAATGTTGCTCTCTGAATCCAAGAAACTCTGTATCTGGGTTTCTAAAAGGCTAAAACTGGGACTTAGAACCGTTAATAAAATAAGCTTTAATGCTGAGAGGTATTGTATCAACACTGACTAAATTAAATAATTTGCTGACTGTCATTAACAAAATCAAGTATTTTGCTGACCAATGTTATCCTGTTATCCAGTTGGGTAGGCTTAAGCCAGGCCTTCTTCCTCTATCGTCATCATCTCTCATATCTATTGCACTAAGCAGTTATAAGGACTTTTGCATGTATTACCATTTTTAGTTACTAAGGCAGTTCTGTGATGTCCAAAAGGTTGGAGATTGTCTCACCATTTTAGATGCACTCTCTGAAACCAAACATCCAATGTCAGAGCAAAGAAGATAATCTAGACTTTCTTGTTTTTTTTTTTTTAATTTTTTTTTTTAGTTATAGATGTATAACATACCTTTATTTTCATTTTTTATGMAGTGCTAAGGATCGAACCTAGTGCCTCACGTGTGCTAGGCAAGCTCTGTGCCACTGAGCCCCAGCCCCAAGAATCTAAACTTTCTAATTTCCAGCTGTCCTCTTTCGGAAGAGGAGGTCCTCAGGGAAGTCTCTAGGAGAGGCACAGCAAACACTTTAACTCTGGGCTGAGGTCCTAGCCTGCCCTGAACTCTGATCTTGAGCACAGAGTGAGATTACCCATGGAAGACAGAGATGGCTTTGAATGGGTGGATTAGTCATCCTGCAGGTTCAGTGTAATGAGCTAAGAAAATGTTATTCCCTCTTGTAAATTGGCCATGTGACAGTGCAGGGAGATGTTGTGACAGGCTTGAGGTGTCACCTTGTGAGGTCTGTCTCAGAGACTGCCTTAGGTTACCCGATACATGCAATGGGTGGACCTGTTCCTCCAGCTGCAGAGCTGTCTCCATGGAGACAAACAAAACTCTTTCTCTTCAGTTCCAGAAACTTCAGTGTGAATGGCAATTTCAAATCGACTGTCCTAATCTTCTCAGGGCAGCAGGAAGCATTTAAATGTTCAACATGTTAAATGAACCCAAAAATACAGGTTGGTGAGACTGATTCATGCCTGGAGAAGGGAAAAGGCGGGTGTCTTTCCATTGCCTTGGCTAGAGACCCTGCTGGGGCTGAAATTCACCCTAGATTTCACGGCACATTCTTCCCCATCCTGGCCAGGCCTCCTCATCCTGGTATTGTACCATGCTGTAAAGTGTTGTGCAATGTGGAGGGAAGAAAGAAATCTGGGGGTAGAGTGAGAGCGCAGAACAAAGGCTTGGAATCRGGGAGAATTTCAAAGTTCCCAAAACAAGGCAGAAGGTTTTTTACTAGATTAGGCACAACTCCAAGATTGGGGATACACATTCATTTTTTTCACTTCTCAAGCTTATTGTAGTAATCAGCACGTAGTAGATGCTCAGCAAATATTTGCAATGGGTGAACATACAGAATAATAACCAGTGTGGAACTTTCCTAACCTCACCAGCTTTGTATGGGCCAAGCTCTCAAGTGTAAACTGTTGGCTTTGCCCCATGGTTGCCCCTAGGATTGCCACTTCTGATCTTGCTCTTATTTTTGGACCCCTTGGATTTTGACTGTCTTTGGAGGCCAACTTGGACCCCAAGTCCTTCCTTCAATTTCTGCTTCCTGTGCTGAGGCTCTTATGGAATTCATGTCAGGTAGTCTGTTTTAGAACTTCCAAGCTTTCCATTTAGTTATAATAAAACTCCCAGTTATTCTGGAAAAAAAAAAAAGGTCCTTTCAGAAAACCAAAACTTCATTTTTGTAACAATGCAAGACTCCACATGTAARGTGGTAATTTTACCAAAATTTTAGGTCTCATTAATCCTGGTTGAAGAAGGAAACAGTTTAGAGTTTTGAGGCAATTTAAGAATATCTACCAAAATAAAGAAAAGTATAAGCACTTTGATCTTGCAATTTTTGTTTCTAGAAGTCTAACTTGCAGAGATACATTTGTGCATGGCCATAATTTTAAAGACTCTGGGGCTGTAGTTCAGTGATAGGGTCCTTGACCAGCATTCATGGGGATCTGGGTTCAATCCTCAGTACAGAAGAAAAAAATTCTTAAGACCATATTGTTATTATTAAAATCAGATGTCATTTTAAGTCCATAATAGACAAATAGATAAAAAATTATGATGCATCCATAAAAGTGACTATTCTTCATCAAGGAAAAAGAATCAGGTAAATCCAGTGTATTATTTAATATCCCCTTGCATATTAAATATTCTTATATTTARTATGAAAGGGGACTGAATATGCATGATATGATCACATTAGTTTTAAAAACTTTGCATATAAGTGAATGTGTATGTATGTGTGTCTGTCTCTGCATTTTAAATTGAAATCACTGAGAAACTCTTGGTGAATCCAAGGTAAAAGATTAGGGTCAAAATTCATGTATCTGACTTTTTTTTCTTATTTCTTTATGACCACTGATCATAGATCACTTGTAGAGCCCGGAGTAGATGAAAGATATTTATAAATGTGAATCCTATATGATTTCCAAGGGTTGTATTTTTGTTGAAATGTGGATGACTCTTTTCTCAGCTTCAAGTAAAATGGTGAGAAAGGCACATGCTGTGTGCAGCCCTCCACCCTCTCGTCCCTGTGTTTTCCCTGTTTTGAGATTTTAAAGCAGACCCAGGTGTGAATGTCATTGCCATTTGTTACCGACTGTGTCAACTTGGCCACTCCGTCTTCCAAAGGCTTAGATTTTTTCCCCCTAAATAATGCAATAATATCCATCAAGCAGAGCTTTTATGAGGACACGTGAAAATATCTAGTACACACTAGATGATCAATGATTGTTTTCTTCTTTCTGATTTCTATTTAAAGATTCTTTCTCAAAAAAAAAAAAAAAACCCACCACTTTTGGGTCTTGGGTCTTGCTCTGCTCTCAGCATTTTAGTCTCTATCAGGGCCCTGTGGCTTAGGAATAACTGCAGGTACATCCTCCCTTCCCTGCCTGTGTATGCAATCCTACCCCCTTTCTTTCTTCTCCATTATTCTCTGCTCATTTCCTTTCTCTTCTTCTTCCTTACTTCTTTTTATATTTTGTTTTGGCCTTTTTCTAACCCCATACCTTCCTGTCCACTCCTCCATTTATTTCCTAAGACTATTAGAAGAGAGATATGTGGTTCACAGAGGAAGAAACACAAATTGCAGAAAAAGAATAATACCAAGTCTTCCTCCTCCACACTTGTGCCCACTGTATTCCCCTCTGTTCCCCCAAATGCCATGTTTTTATACATTGGCTGACTTCTGCTCCTCAGTTCTCAGAGTCCTTTGATTCAGGGGCCTGGGCTCCAATATATTAAGTCAGATACTCCTGTTCACTGTGCCCCCGTGCTTCATGCTTCCCAAGGTACTGACTTAGCTAAATTGCAATTTCTCATTAAATAGTCTCTCTATTTCCTGCTAGGTTACAAGCTTTCACAGGCATGGAACTTATTCCATTGTTTGCTTTTTCATCTTCAGATTTTTGGCTCAAGTCTGGCACTTAGTAGGTTCCTTGAATAAAGTTGTAACTGTAGCCTCTGCTCATTAATAAGACACCTGGGGAACAGCCTAGTTTCCCTTAAGCCAAATTCTACTCTGTGGTCTCTGCCATATTCTTTTACTAAAGATTGGGTTCACAATCTTGAGTAGTCCAAATAAAAGCAGAAAGAAGTGTCAAACATTATCCATGCCTATTTTATTTGAATAGATTTCCAAACCCTGTTAGCCTGGGAATTAAGACTCCCAATGAACTTTTCAGTCCTTCCTGCCCCGCGCCCAACCTTGATTCTGTCAGACCACATCTACAAGCTTCACTTTCTTGTTCTTGTTTATGTTATTTCCTCAACTTGTAGGGTTGATTTTTCTCCTACTTTGCTTATGGAAAATTCAGATCTCTCAAACTCCACTTCAAAAAATTGTTCTTATCTCTTGAGCTATTGTGGAAATGAACTGAGATAAAATGCATAAATCACAACACAGTGGTCACCACAGAATAAGCACTCCATAAAGATTAGCTATTAGCATCTTTTTCAATCAGACTTTAGGCTTAAAGGGAGTGGGGACTATGTAAATATTATTTATATCTTTWTCCTAAGCATCCAGCCTAAGACTGAGTACATAGTAGGTGCTCAATAAATGGTTGTTGAATAACAAAGGGACAAGTGGTCCAAATAGCAATCCAATAGATCAGACCAAATAGTAAATACCATGTGCAATAAGACATCTGGAGAACAGCCTAGTTTCTCTTAAGCCAAATTCTACTCTGTGGTCTCTGCCATGTTCTTTTACTAAAGATTGGGTTCACAATTGTAAATAGCCCTAGCTCCCTCTGGCTACTTACAATCTTTAGTAAAAGAACATGCCAGG